AAAAGTGATTAGGTCAAGTAACAGATATCCACCCAACCCCACGAAGGTAGTGATAACACAATAATAAGCCGTGATAGAGACAAGGTGTGGTATCTAATAGTTCTCTGTACACGACAGTGGCTATTGTTCTAAATCTTTGTTATACACGAGTATTTTGTTGTCAGCTACAAGGCTTAGAGAGTGTGGTACTCGGTCACGAATTGATCCAATTTGGAGTTCAACTGGGGCACGATGGATTTAATTATGATTGATCGAGCAGCAGTAATGGTATCTCTATCGACACTCTCCTTGGGATCTTTAACATTGACATGGAAGGTGTAGGGCTCCATATCATTAGCGAAGTCATCAACCTTCACATCAGCATTCAGTTGAATACCTACTCAAGGATGATAGTAGTAGTATACTACTAAGGACTCACCCTTGAATGTAACATTAGTACTCAACTTGAACTTGTAATCATATACATACCGTGCTGTTCCTGAAGACAGTATCCTATCACACCATAATGACATCACGATACTCCCGTACCTCTAACAATTGGAATGGCGGCATCCCCCTCCAAGTTATCGATCGAATCAACGACAAGATCAAGGCCTTCAGGTGCATTGAAGGTAGATCCTGTATGAACATAGACACCTCCTATTAACAAATATCCCGACCCTTACCAGGGATATTCTGTTTAAGCCAATCATTAGCCCATTCGGTAGTATTCCGTTCTTCGTACCTAAACTTACCATAGACACCAATTGTCATCATTATCCTACTCCTTCTTACGTATCAGCTGTGTTCCAAACACTCTTGCCTGCATGACTACCATCACCAGAATCGGTTACTTGTATCCTCTCTGGACTACTAGCTTCCTGTTGGGGTACTATCTCATGTGGTTTAAACTCTTCTTTCTTCTCTGGTATCCATTCCCGATGACGATACCTTATAACATGATAACACTACTGTACTCATAATACTAGGGTGGTGGTGGTGGTGGTGATCTCTATTACCAATTAAGCTTCTCATCCTCTACTACCACATCATCATCCTTCTTTGATCGGAATGGTTCAGCAGCCCCTACACACACATCAATCTCAATACTCCCTAGGAACCCCCTACGTTTGGCAGCAGCAGCTCTCTCAGCATCTTGTTCATGTCTTGACTTCTCCTTCTTGGCTTTAGGCTTCTTACATATACGTTTATGGAATCGCCAGTCCTCCTTTTGACAATTCCGATCGCAGTATACCACTTTCTTACAGATACCGCACCGTAGAGGATTCCCGGGGATCTTACCACAATTAGAACACTCCTAATCATCAAGGACGATCAGTAAAGACTCGTAAGCCGCGCTTTAAGACCCACCTTAGGAACAACTTCCTGGGTGGTGGTGGTGGCTTCACTACTGGATTCTTCTTTACTCCGTATCTTGTCCATATCAGATAAATCCACAGGCATCGGTGTAGGAAGGGAGTTCATCATATTCGTATGTTGTTACCAGAAATGAGAGAAATCAGATCGAACAACTGTGGATCATGGCGGAATACATCAACCACCATCATCACAAACCTATGTCTGCCTGGATTGCGGCAAACAACAACAACCACGACAACAACTCAAGTAATAATAGAATACTAAGGAGCACAGAGACTCATGAGGATGATGACTATACTCGATATGGAAACGTTACAGAGACGAAAAACTTCGGGTGGCAACCGCAGGACTTATGCACGCAGGAAAGGATGATAATGATGATCCGTGTTATCATCGATATTAAGTCGTGATTAGGGAGGGTAAGAATGTGGCAGACACTAATAAAGGTCATATCCCGAATAGAGATGAGGATCCTCGGTAGGGGGCCTATCACACGAAGGGTAATAACCTCATCAGTGATACGCAAGGTAGTAGCGGCCTGCTAACGACTTGCATGCTGTTTCAACCCTTGAGCTCTAACTATTGAGTATTGAATTGATTCAGCTAAGGACGGCGTACTAGATGATACTTGTAGGGTGGCCGCTGGACTCCATCATTTATGACAAGGATTATACCTCACTGAGGGCTACAACTCTCGGAGAGTGATCATCACATTACTCGCTGTGAACCCCAGACTGTAGAGTATTACCCTCTAGTGATCTGAGATAGATGAATAAAAGATATACTCGTAGATATGAATATTACCTGTTAACCTCCAGACATGTCAGATCCTGAACAAAAGAGCTAAATTGAGGAGATCAGGATTAAGTTGTTGAGTACCAAGGTAAAAGGACGTTACACACCTTCGAAAACTACTTATCCATCTCGAGGTCTCCATCTCACACTGCTAGGCCAACGCTGCTCGTACTGTTGATGTCGATTAACAGTAACATCACCTATGCCAATGCAACCCACCGAAGACTCCGTGGCGCGCTCAGTTTACACGGGCGAGCGCTTTTTACATGCGCATCTTGAAACGGATTCGTCATGTGGGTTGCACACACTTCGCATCAGCGTCTTACTTCAACATTTTCTAGTAGATATGTTTGGCCCATTGAGTGTCTCAGTGACTGCTTCTTCTAAGAAGTCCGGCAGTAACACTGCTGCTTCTACTCCTGAACAAGGTCCAACCTCAACTAACCGTGTACCTATTTCGCCCTCTGATTATCTTCCCGAGGCATACATAACAGGAGTAAAGGTACATCAATCTGTTCCTCATTCATAACTGTGACCACCTTTCTGTCAGTTACTCGGTCCGGATGCTAACGACGACACTGAGATCGCCTCTCACTTTTCTTCGATGCTCCGGAGCAGTTCGAGTGAGGTTCCCTTGCGACCCTTGTGAGGTCTACTGGTCTCTTTGCCAGGTCCACAGCTCTCCCCGAGGATCTCTGCAGGTGACATCAGCGCTGGTGAGCAGTCTTTACCCTGCCTCTATCTTGTACTTCCGTGCAGGTCGCGGCCGACAGCTGCTCTTCTTCATTGACTGGGATGATACTATCCTCCCTACGACT